GTGGTGATCGATAGTGTAAGCATAAAAATTATTCAAAGAAACAAATAATGAAATTTATAACATCAATAAAAGTCATTATTGGAATATGTATAAATGAATAATGTATATATACTATACAGAGCAAATAGCAATCATAACTTTCTTAAGGTAGGTCAAAAGATGAATTCAACGGGACATCTACAACTATATACTTATAGTTTCGCGAACACGACACAACACTGAACACACCTCCATCTCTGGACTGCATAATAGTGAGTACAATACGTGAAATCACTACAGATTTGGGTAAAAACTAAAAAAAAACCTTGTCAAGTCACCGGGGTCACCGCTTTAATTAAACCCTGCTGCCGAAAGTGGAATTTTTAACAGTTCATGTAGTGTGAACGGTCTGTTGTTATTTCTTGTTTTCAAACCTATATTTAACCTATATATTTGTGTGGTTCAATTAACTAAAGATGATAATTTGAAAAAATTAGAAGTCAACAACTGATTAATTCGCCGACACTTGCAAACAAACACTCCGGACGTTTAATTGCATTTACGGATTACTGCACTAAAGATACCCTATACATGAGAATATAATACCGAACGAGACGATGGCTCTGGGTCGCAGCATTCGAATATTATTATTATAAAGCAAAATTATAGCAAGAAATGAAAAAAAAATAACTCGAGCGTTTAATTTAATAAGCGTAAAATTGACGTCTGAAACGTCTCTATTATCGTGTCCTTGTAACTATAATACGAAAAAAACAACGCCCTTGAAGGAAAAACAGGAAAACTTTTTTCGATCTCAATCCTTATCGATATATCACCACACAAGGTTTCGCACTATACACAAAAATATAGTAAAACGTTATTGTATTACATTATTGTTAAGACGGTGACGGCGATGCCACAGCTCATATAGGACACATCAGCTGTCACAGATTTACAAAGGTGAAAAAAAACACAACAAAATTGGAAAAGTGATTCTATTAACTAAAATATACCCATGGCATCGAAAAATAAAGATTTGATAAAAAAAAATATTGATTCAAGCCATATTGATTCCTTCAGATGCAAAACAATTATTTTTTCAACACACCGCAAGTTTTAAATGATATTCAGGACAAGGTTTTTAATGATCCGCATGATCGATAAATTTGTAATGGAATATATTAATGACAGTTCAAGTACTAGAATTTTTAGAAGAAACAAATTATGGAAGAACCTGTAGACATATTTTTTTCCTCGTAAAGATAATATTTTTTAATAAGCGTTTGGAATACCTTGAATAGTTACGGTAACATTATTAGGTGATATACTCAAAAGAATAAAAACTATTATTTAAATTTAGTAACGTATTATTTAAGATTATCAAAAAAAAAAAAACAAAAAGATTACTAGGTGAGTATATCATGAGAATGACTGTTCATTATAATATAGGTTTACCAAATGGATGAACATTATTTATATTTATTGAAATAAAATTACTACAACGTAGTACGCTTGACAACAAAACAGGGTGAGTTTTTTATTTTGAATATTTTATAATAATCGATAAGAAATAAACAACGATACAATGGAAATAATTTTAGACATTAGAGCTTTTCAAAATATATCAATTATTTATCATTACGACGTGTTATTATAATTTATATACGACAACGATTGATACTTGATGATCAACTTCGCATATTTTAAATAATATTAAAAACATACTAGAGACGTCTTCGAAGAGATTACGTTTGATGAGCACATACACAACTATTATACGTGAATCGATAACGCAAAGTAAGTAATAACACTATTAACACTTAGTATAATATATTATTGAATACAAACATAAGATTGTACTGAAAAATACATAAAATTTAGTTTAAATGAATTGCTTACATCAGACAACGGCAACCAAACATTTTAATTTAATAAGCGTATAAAAAAGTACCGATTTAAAAATAAATAAGATATAATAACTACTAAAACACGGAGTCAATATGAAAAAGGAACACAGCGAATGGGCGTGCAAGACTGAACATTGTATCACACCGCATTTACCGACTACCGAGTGTTGTGTGCGACACAACAGCGCAACTCTCCGGGAAAAGCGCTGTAGTTGCGGTGAGTCCGAACTATTTTCAATATCAAACAGTGATAAAATAATATACGACGTTATTATCAATAAATTATGATTATAGTCTATAGAAGCGTTACGTAAATACGTAATATACTAATATAGGTAATTCATGTCTCATAAATTAATTCTAGCATGAACATTATTATGGTATTCATTTAACACACAACAGTCGAATTGAGTCGATTGGACAATAAAAAAAAAATTTCAAATTAATATGACATAAAAATGTCAACATTTTTATAGGTACTATCGCAGCGCGAAGTGGCGGCGACGTATTGATATCTGGAACAGTTTATTTAATGCGATTGATACGTCGATACAAGCGACACAACGGAAACAATACTATTGAATAAATGGCCATCGGAAAAGCTTAATTCATAATAGTTTTTTTTATTTATTCGTTATAAACTACTTTTGCTGTATAGACATTAGTCAATAAAATCCCACCTGAAGTAAGATCAACATTTTGCTATCATTAGTCACAACTACATGGAGTATAGAATATCGCATATATTATGCTATATGTCTGACATCATGAATTACCTACATAGATTTGTCTAGAACTATAAAAAAATAATTAAGAATTTTATTAAGATTGCATTGTTTTAAATTGTTTGTTAATGTTAATTTCAGAATCGAGTATAATAAGTTAATTTGAAGTTATGCTATACAGTACAATACTAATTTAATACTTTTTTAATCATGAATACGTTTCTATGTAATAATATTGAGTGTTTCACCTAGATATATAATAAAACTAGGTAGGTACTTGATTAATGAATAGTTGTACAATTAATTAAACTTTGAGAACCGTAACCAATTAATTAAAAATTAACTTAAATTTGTAACAAGCCATAATTACATAATTAAATAAGAAAATTATTGATGTAAGAACATGTTTTATATGATATTTTAATTTTACTATCATGTTACATTTTACAATACTATACAGTCGTTAAAATTGATAGAAATCGTTAATAATATTAACGTAGTTAGTAAGATTTCAGTGAAATCAAATATCTTCAGATCATACTTACACATCAACAACATATATATATATATATTACATTACATAGTACACGTATAAAAATTTAAAATACCATACACTAATACATAATAATATGTATAATAGACGCGTACAGTCGATTTGTACTTGGGGTTGCATTTTAGACGACAGCAGGAATTTAACGAACTATATTGTCATAAGTATAAGTAACGATATATTAACGAAGTTATTCAACATAACAACACCTATAGAGTTTAACCGAACACTAATGTCTAATTATCTTTCAAACAAATTAACTTTGAGTAAAAATTAAATAGTTAGGTAGTAAGCATAATATTTTAAACAATATGTTTAGTTGTATTATACTATTATACAAGGTACTGGTATTGTGCTTAAGTACATTAATTTATAATAACGCATTCAGAATTAACTTCGTAAGTATTAGAAATACAGGGATACTTATTTAAGTTATATTTATTGTTTTAAACAATATAATTATGGCGTATTTTAGGATAAAAATTCAAATAAAAACTTTAAGCTATGTAATGTAAATTGAATTAAAAATCAGTATTAAAAAAAAATTATTTGTGTTTTAAATTTGTCTAATTATATGACCCACATTAAAAGAATAACTTAACTTACTACCTTAATGTTCTCACGAGTCATGTTAGCTAAGTAATAACTCTCCGATGTAGTAGATATAGTTGTTATTAAAATATTACATATTCACCTTTATAGCAGTATAAACTACTTTAGTAATGTTTAAGACGTGAACAGAGATAACATATAACGGGCATTCTCACATAGTCACAACAAATTTAAGTAGGCAATTCACTAGATTTGATTATAAAAGTATTAGACTGCAATCTAAAGAAACGAATGGAACATGAACTAATGGTTTCACATGCATATTTCATTCCTTCAAATTATTCGTGTACTAAATTGTGGTGCGCGTGTAGATCTGGGCCACTTTAATTGTTTCTAAAAAAATAACCTTTTTACAGTCGCAGAAACTTGAAGCTAAATTGACATAGAACACGAAACAAATTACTGATGAGGTAAAGCATCTACTAAATACTATTTACTTATACTTTTATGTATTATTTGTTTTAAATATTCGTATATGTATAATATCCTATATTATATAGTATAAACAATATACATATACTCGTAATACTATATTATATATATCATTAATATATTCATAAATATTATTTTCACCGGAATCGATTGTACAAAGGTGAAGGTTAAAACAACGTACTTTGCTATTTTACTATTGAAATAAATGGAACAATATGAAAGTTTAAGGCCCACATTTTATACTTCAGTAGTATATCTGCTTACAGCTTTTATTAGTCATATTTTTATCAGATAAACAATTGAAGAAAAATTGTATACATTGTAATGATAAAGTAAAGATAAGACTAGTAAGATAGTAATTTAAATTACAGTATTTTCAAAATGTAAAAATGTATTTTGTGTCACGTGGTTAGTATATAGAACTGTCGACAAATACCGAAATCAAGTTCATGTTTTTAAGTCCTTGAGCGAATGGATAGAAAGTACTTAAAATAAGTTTGACATTGAAAATATTTATTAAAATTCATGAATTATGATGTTGTCCAGTTATTATACAACTAAAACTTTTTCATTTATAACATTGGATACTAAACATATAGGTTTTGTTAACTTTTAAGCACACATTTTTTTTTATAAATACATGATTAAGATTATGTTATAAAATATCAACTAGATTATTATAAATTCAATTATTTTTTTTAACTAGGTTTTTGTATTTATTTCTAATTTACTACTTTAAGTCCGCATTAAACACTTAATAGTTGCACGGTAATTTATACCGTAGTTATTTATTACCTCTATTGAGCTCGGGCAATATCATTCGTACCCGTGGTGGTTTATCCGAAGAAAATCTAGGGTCTACAGGTGTCTTGGCCGGCACAGTCGGTGACAGTAAATGATACATGCACTTGGGCGATTCGCCTTGTGTTTCCAGCGTACTCGAGCTGACCACCAGTGGGTTTTTGCAAAAGTCTTCTCTGTCGACACACCGGAATTCGGCACTTGTCGGACCGACATTTTCAAAATTTGTCGGATGTCCGTCGTCTTTGCAGGTCGCTAGCTGTATGTGGTTGACATCTTCATGGTCATCACGGATACTCATTTCATTATAAGTTACTGATATTTATCACATTTTGTCACAATAATTAAAAGTCCTAAATTAAAATATACGTTTTGTAAAACTGCATGACACACGCAACCGAGTACATACAGAACAGAGAGAATCAATTCCAATTTCAAACGGAGAATATTATACCTATATGTGCTAAATGTTATATTATTAAGTGAATAATCCGTATCTATGAAAAATGTCTGATAACTGTTACAGGCCAAAAGCAAAGTCTAAACTACCGATAATTGTACATTGTCGAAAATTTATATTTAAAATCTTATACTGCTTCATGCCTACTGACAATTTCTCGAAAACATTCCTTGTAAACAATAAATATCACACAATTACACTTCATTCAAGAAAAAAGACTATTAGAACAGATTTAACTATTTAAAGCTTATATAGTTTTCTACTCACGTGTTACAAAATTACTACGCATGACTAACAGATTATTATACGCTCGTACTTCATTCAATATGTATTCGTCTTTTCATACATGTATAATTAACACATGGGTCAGGTCGTCATTGTCGTTTAACTATTAAAATCGAGACAAACACGCTACGAGAATACGCAACTCCAATACACGACTAAAAACGATCACACACATATTTTTGCTGTTTTAAAATGTTAGTGGGTCAAGTAACGACTAAATCAATCGAATGATTGTGGTTGTTTTTCGGTAAAACACCTACCACAGATTTAAAATTTAAAATCATAATTAATATCTAGCACCTATTTCATATTATTATATATTTCTGACATTCGGACAGTGTACGGACAACGGATTATAACTTAATAGGTTATGTTCATAATTCTAAGATGGTTCTGTGCTCGGGTACGTGTACATTTATCAACACCGTTTAAAAACTATAAAATCAGCAATAACTAATAATCAGTTATAACATAAAATTAAAAAATACATAATATAAAATAGGTATACCTATATTTAAAATTTGAAAAAAATAACTCTATTATCACAAAACTTTAATAACCGACATAATCAACGACACAAAAGAGTTTAATTATTATAACTTATTATAACTAATAAATAATTTTAAAAAAGCACTAATGAATTGAAAAATGTTAACACCGGAACTCGGAACGCACACGACACACCGATGATATCATCCAAGATACGATTACACGAAACGATATAACGCGGTCGACTAAGGTGCCGGAGAGAATTACTGTGGCAGTGTGGCATAGACCACCACGGAGAGTAGAGCCCAACCCATAACGTAGCAGTGATGCTGACGGCACGGTAATTATTGTACGATCCCCAATAATAAGTTTAATAATAACCTAACGGGCGTTGTGCTCAACAACCAACCAACCAGCCTTACGAATATATTTTTTTTACCGGTGAACGATGATGTACCTATGTCCTACACCTATAAAACATTTAGATAAATTGTCACGAGTTACAAATACAAAACATTAAACATTGCATTGCATATTATTTTTTTATTATGTTTTAGAAAATGTTAGCGCACTATTAGTTTTTTCTATCTGACCTGTGCACAATTTGATCACATTGACAAAATGCATTAACGCGGAATACATTTTATTACATTTTTTTAATAATTTATCATGGTAAAATCAACCATTACAAAATTGATAGAGGATAATTATTTGATTGATTTGTCTATGTATTGTCTCTAAACAATTTAAACATCATATCAATTTACAATTTTTTTTTATTTTGAGAGTCAAATACAAAGTAAGATAATTATAAAATATAAAACCGTTATGTCATACCCTCAAAATTATTATCCTCTATAATTTAATTTTTGTAATAGGTGATTTTACTCTAAGGTTAATCAAAAATCATAGAAACCGATTTTAGGTGAAGACATTTTATCTATGTTGCGCGTGAGCCTGAGAGAAAACAAATATAGCATTGAAATTCTCTTCTCTTAATATCATTCTACCAACAATTAAAATTCATGAAATATTGTTAATGTGCTTAATGTGAACAATCTGTAAATAGCATTGCATTATTCCAATCGCGTTTTGTTTTATTTGCCAACTGTGCAGTAATTTATAGTCATTATCCGTTTTTGACCAAAATACGTAATACTCGAATCTGGTATTATATTTTGAGTATTTTGACCGTTTTCAATAATCTTTAAGCTATATTATTACACTATGAGTTATCTAATCGAAATTACGCTACTTAATAATACTGTCTATTCAAAAATAAAAATTTAAATCATTGGTTTAAAGGTTTAATAACACTATAATCGTAAAAACCTATAATATTTTTTAGATAAAAAATAAAAGTTGATAATTTTATTTATACATAACAGGCCCTTATTAAAAAAAGAAAATGTGTACAACGACAAAATGTAAGCAAATGACTGTAACTTTTTTAAGTAAAATACCTAATACATAGGTACATTAAAGTATCACTATATACTTCAATATACTATCATTTAGGTAATATTCTTCACCCATGAGAAAAAAATTGAAATAGTTTTGTTTTAAATTGTAATATAATATATTTTTTCAAACCATACAATTCAAGTTTATAGATTTCTAGTGCTAATTGTTGGGCCATATATAGCCTACATTATGTAAGTACTAGGTAACTAACCTAACCTACCGGTGAAATCCACAACAAATATTTAATTAAATAAGATATTAGTATACCTATTGGCTATTGGGTTAAAAATACATAATATATTAAAAAAATATACTGACATTTAAACCGATAAGTTATTATACTATATCAAAATAAAATAGCATGCATTTTGACAACAGACGTACTGACTATAAATACATACATGCAACAATGTTTACAATGTTAGCATCAAATTTCATGAACCTGTTTGATAGGAAGTGAGAGAGAAGGCTAACTATAGAACCATTGTTTGGGATGAACACACAAGAGAAAGAAATTTGAAACACAAATTTGAACCTCGCATTTGTACAACTTCTTTTATGTAAAATACATATATGTAATAGAGCACTGTAGACTGTAGTACTGAAAACATGCTTGTCACCCAATAGTACAGTAAAACAACTCATTTTTTTATTACTATAAAATTTAAGTTGATATGTAACAACAATCATTCAATAGTTTAAATTCACTTGCTGTTCAAAAGGTGATGATTATTATTGTTCTTCCAAATATATAAATTATACCACATGTATGACACATTAAATCATCAATCTTTCAAAAACAAAATATTCGGGTGCCCTGTAAGTAAGGATATATCCATTAGCTGTAAAGGGGGTCTTGCTACCTGGATAAAAACCGGTTTTTTGCCATTTTACATAATACTAACAAAAAAAAAAAAAATTATGAAATTAATGAAAATAAAATATTGAAAGGTCAAAATTTTTAGAAAAATTAATTCTACGAAATGGATATCTTAAATTGTTTCAGTAATACAAAAATGAAAAAATATTTTTTTTAAACTTTTTTACCAAAAAATTAAATTAAATTAAAAAGAAAATAAATGGAGTCCGTGTCTCTGTGAGTGTAATCAAAAACAGATTTATTTCATACTTAATATCTCAGGAGATATCCCAATGGGTAAATCCTCGCAGGGCACCCTCAATATTAGTTATTTATGGCTATTCAGTCACTTGTAAATTATAACCAACGATATACCAAAAACATATCAAGTATTAAAAAAATGTCATGATATGATAGTTAGAATCAAAAAATATACTAAATTAATTAGGGGTTGCAGAAATGAGACTATTTTAAAATGTCTTCAAAAATATATAAGTGGATATATAGTATCAGATTTATCATTCATAAAATATGTTGTCATGACTAATCAATAATCATGTATAATCAAGAGGCGTAGCTAGAAATTTTATCCCGGAGTGGGGGGTTGGCAACTCAATGTATTTATACATTTTTACCCTAATTTAAAATATTGTTAGCTATGGACGTTGGAGGGGGGGGGCATTGCCACCATGTCACTCACTAACTATGCTCTTATGCATAAAACATGGCTTCATAATAATTTCTGTCAGACCTTCAATCTTCTTTGTTACTTAAGTAACAAAAATTAAGATTTTTAAACACAAAATAATATAATGGTTAATAAAGTATAAAAATATTTATGATAAACAATAATTTTACTTCTTGAAATTTTGAATGAAATAAAGTGAGTAGACTTATAACAACCATAAATATAAAAGTCTACCTTTTAATTTATTAATCAAAAATAATTTTTTTTCTAAAAAATAAATGAGAAAAAACTTGAAATTAGTTCTAATTAAAAAGTGAAACTAAAAAACGATAGGTTAGGCAAGAGAACCCCCTTCCCTTGTCATACTAAAAAGTTTTTGTTCAAAACTAGTTAAACTAGCTACTCAACAATTACCGAGCAACTTGGTTTTTTTTATTACAAACATGTATGGTACCAATAAAAAAAATAAAAAAAAATTGTAGATTAATAATAAATGAATTCATCACAGATAAACAGTAGCCCATTCATGAAACAAACCAACCCAAAGTTTAACTACTTAAAAATAAATAGTTGCAGACTAAAAATTTATATTTATACTTAAAAAAATATATGAACCATTAACCCTAAAGTATGTATACTAAGTCAACAAGTTATTTTTATTTTATTGATTTTTATATCAGTAAAATTATATTTTATAACAAACTTTTAAAACTGGCAGTTGTTAGTTACCTAATATAATTAAAATAATCAGTACTACATTCAACATTTGACATTCAGTATACCAAATGGTTTGAAGTAATTAATAAAAAAACTAATGTATTTATCTTAATACAATATAAAACGCTAATGAGTATTTTATCTATTAGTTTCATTGTATAAATCTAAAAGCATATTTAATAATTGTTATCACATCAGCAGGAGTAATGAAATAGTAGAATTAAAATAATTACGTTTACAATGTATATGTTGTTAGACTACAATTTAAATTTCTTAAAAGTTACAATCAGTAACAATTATATTTATCAATCTATCTTTTTAGTTTTATTTGAGCCATTTTCTAATTGTATATACTTACGAAAATAGTTTAATGTTTCACGAATGTATTCTTTTGAAAGACTTGCTGTATCAACTGTGTCTTCATTTGATGCTGGACTTGGAATATACCAATCTTTATTTTCATAACCTTAAATTTTACAAATCATTCATTAAAATAAATTGGTACATTAAATAGGAGTATATAAGGTATTATGAATTAATTAGATTACTTCTTAAACATTTAAAAAACTAAAAACATAGGTACATATTCATTAATATTTATATGAACACCTAAATAAATATTTTTTTAATTAAAATAATTATATGAAAATTTAGTTTAAATATTAAAAAACAATTTATAGTTAACCTTTTAATTGCCAAGCACTTTTAAATTAAACTACACTGCTTAGCCAGGTAATTTTTTTTGAAAAACTTTTTCTCATTATATCTTTTTTCAATTTATTTAATGAATTCCCTAAATTAATAATTATTAGCAAAAAAAAATAATAATTACCTAACTATCTTTTTAATTAGACACCCGGTGTTTCTCAACACTCATCAAATTTTTATATTAACTAGTATAATACACACATGTGCGTCAATGGTGATAAAAGGGTTAATTAAAATTTTTTTTAAAAAATAATCAAATTATTAAATTATTACCCGTAAATTGTGTTAAAGTGTCAGCTCTCAATTTGTACTGCGGTATAGTTTCTTCCAGCAAACTGATTAACTCAACTTCTGGAAGTTCATCATTACTGCATATTTCTAAAAACAAATTGGTCATTACAAAGTAAATATATAGTTACATTTATTTTCGACAATAGACTAAACAAAAGAATTTGAATATTATACATTTTGTAAATGTTTAGTAAACCTGATCCATTTTAGTAACTTTTTCAGCAGCAAAATAGCTTGCTAACTTAAACCGAATAATAAATTGGAAAGAGTATTCAAAGCAATAAGCAGTAACTAGTGATAATAAATCATTCAAAATTATGATCTTAGTAGACATTAATTTGGTGTTTTTCCAAACTCTGTGACGTATGTCTTCTACCTAGTACAAATTACACTTTCATAAATTATTGTTCAACATAAGATTATAAGATTAGGCATATGTTTCCTGAACAAAAGCTGTTAATATAAATCAAAACATCAAAACAATTTAGTCACTGAACACTTCATTTTTCACTAAACAGACCTACCTG